CTAGGTCGTGGGCACAGCGGTATTTATTTTGATTTTTCTCTCTGTCTGAAAACTTCACAAACAAGAGTTACACATACACACAAGTATGCTACAGGGCCTTCAGTTCACTTAAGACAAGCGAGCCTTCTGCTCTTACCTGTGCAAGGAGAGAACAGGACACCTGCGTGACTGTGTATGTTGGTAATCACAATCCCAGAGGAAAGAAAATAATGCTTCCAGAGCAAGGTCTATTTCCAAAATGTTAAAACCCCATTACGTTCAGGAAATGTGAGGAGAAAACGAACGGACGCCCTCGGACGGCAGCTATGCCGGTGGAGGGCACAGCGTAATGCACAGACTTGTTGGACCGCTGGGTTGTACACCCGAAACCAACGAAATGTTGTGTATCAGCTATACTTCAACCAAAAAAAAAAAAAAAAGGACTGGCACCTCGACTTACACAGCCAGGCTGGTATAGCCCAACCCTGCCTCTCTTGTGTCCACCAAGAAACAAGGGAAGGGAAACAGAAGCTAACAACCTCCCTCGGTACGTACAATTAGCAGATCGGCTGCACCTTTCTTAGCCAGTATGTTCTATTCGGTAGGTAATATGTAGGCCTGTTTGAACATGAACCCTCACTCAGACCTGTCTCTCTGATCAGTGCCTACTTCCCTATGTGTAAAGGAATGGAGGCCAGGGTCTGGGCCACTCCAGGAGCTGAGCGCTGACACCTCTCTCTCACTCTAGGCATGCCAGGTGGTGCTGGCTGGCTGAAGGAGCGGCGGGGATACCTCACCCAGTGCCTGGGACACAGGCAGTCCCGTGAACGTACTCGCCCCCAGCAGGCTATTACTCCCATTTACAGAGGGCACACGGAAGCTGACACAAGTGGGACAATTTGCCCACGCGCTCGTAATATGTTACGTGGCAGAGGCAAGGCCCGAAACCCAGCAAAGGACCTCACATTCCCTTTGGGGCTCACCGTCCACCTGGCACCACCTCTTCCCTCCTGCTCAGGCTGGCACACGGCGCTCAGGATATAACCAGAACCCTGTTTCTGACCCTGCCCTCAAGAGTTCAATGCTCACACAGTAGCCAGAAGGGGGGGGGGCTGTTAAAATCCCCAAGTCAGCTCATGACCCTCTGATGGCAGCCACCTCACTCAGAGAGAAAGCCAACAAGGCCCCACCATCACCTCGTCCTCCCACCACCCAGTCCAGCCACACTGGTCTCCCTGCTGTTCCCCCAAAACAGCAAGCATGCCCCAGCCTCAGGCCCTCTGCCTGGAAGACTCTAGCCCTGGGCAGCACTCTGCCAGCTCCCCAACCTCCTTTGGGTAAATACTAAAATGTCATTTTGTCCGAGGCCTTTGCCAACCACCCTCACCAAAAGCAGCACCCCCTCCGCAAGCCCGCACTCTGCCTTCATCTCTCCACAGTGCTTCTCGCCACCTGACATTCACACCGGCCTTGTCACCCCAGGGAAGGCCCACCAGATCAAGTCTTTGCCTATGTAGCTCACTGGCCATGTCCCCAGTGCCTGGCTTGCTGCCGCTGCTCGATAAGCACCAGCTGCAGGAAGGACAAGGGTCCTGTCGCAGCCCCCCTGAAGAGTACAGCCCACCTGACTGAAGACACCATGCGGTGGGGGTGGTACCGGACCCGCGTGTGGAGCCTCTGGGGATGAGCCTTCCTCCCAACATCAGAGCAGCCAAGAAACACCAGCAGGCGGGTGGGTGGACGAAAGCAGAGAGAAGGGGGAAGGCAGAGGTGAAAGAAAAGCAACGGGCTGGAGACAGGGCTGCAGGAGAGCGGCCACCTCAGCTGCCCTCCAAGTGGACCTTCTGAGGAGGTGGGGCCGAGGGACCCCTGGTTCTTCTCATTTAGAAAGCCAGGTTACTGACAACTTAAACCCAATCCCAAGGGTGAGATGTCAACCAGTTTTTAAGAGGATAAAAAAAGAATTCCTTCAACCCACTTGAGGTTGCTCTGACCATGGCAGGCATGTGGCCCGCTGATAGGAGCAAAAGGGACATAAGCCTAGCTGTGTATCAGGACAAGCTCAACAATAAAGATGACGAAGCTATCGGAGGCAAGGAGGGCGCTGTGAGAATCCACTTGATCCTCAAGGCACATACTTGGCAGGTTATCCTTCCACCTCCTTCCTCCCACCTCAGTGCCTGTCATGCCACTAGGAGGTGCTTGGCTGGTGACAGCAGAGTTTTCATTTTCCCTTCTGGCACCACAAAGAGGTGACGCAGGCTTTTCTTTGAAGCCATGTGCGTGCTGTGCTCTGCTAGAGGCCAAGAAGGCACCAGAGGGAGCCTTGAGAATGGCCTCAAGGCTAGGACTGGCAGCCACCAGCAGCACGTAGAATGTCCATGTGGTGAAAGTCAGTCTGTGCTCTGCCTATCTCCGGCGGCCGAGAGGGGACTCTGGCCACCTTCCTTCCACTGCTGTGTCTCTGGACCTGCCCCCAGAATCAGCAGCAGCGGACAGCACGCCAGAGCAGGCTGGATCAAGTGTTTGCCTGACCCAGACCTGGGTCAGAGTCTCCCTCCTAGGAACTGTAATCACTGGAGTCACACAGCCAAGCAATGTGAGAAACTGGGCACGGGGGTGGAAGGGCACGCAGGGGACTTCCAGCATCCCCCACTTGGGAAAGGCGGAGAAAAAGAAATCTGACAAGGGAATACTGACGCAGCCAGGCAGAGAAAAACAGGGATGGAAACTAGGAGTATTATGCAAATTTCTTCTCCCTTCTTGAGGCCCAGTGGGCTTCCTGCCTTTGAAGACCCTCAAGTCCTTGTGGTACTCCCCCACTCCCATCATGTTCCCTCAAGATGAATTCTGTTCCCACAGGCTTGAAAGCCTTTGCTGCTACAGATGAAATCTCAAAGCGCCTACCCATTCCTCTCACGCCCCCACAGGTCTCAAACAGGTTCTTCCTGGGAAGCTGGTGGCAAAGACCCGCAGGAACAAAGCTGCCTGCCCAAGAGCAGCCTATTCTGTGAGCAAGAGGCAGAGCTGGCTTCCCACTAAGGCGCCTTTGTAGAGCTTATCAAAAATGAAATGAAAAAGAAAGCTTTTGTCCCAATGCATGCCAGGGCCCTGCTGCTGTGCTGGGAGCGTGTGGGTGGGTGCCACCCTCAAGGAAAACACAGACTTGGAGAAGAGGCACTGGGAGCCCTGATGGTGTTCTGGGTCCCACGACCATCTGTTCTCTTAGGAAAGGCTCCAGACATGCTGTGTGGGGGCGTTTCACCAAAAGGCACAGTGAAACATGGTTCTGCCTACATGCTGTAGATCCAATCCTGCCATTAGCACCATAAGATGGGTAAGCCATGGCTGAGGGGCAGAGACTTGGGAGTGAGACAGATATAGCCAATCATCCTAATGTGGCTACTTATCAAATGGGGGTGGGAGAAGTCACTTCATCACCTGAGTCCCAGTGTCTGCCCCAGTTGGCTGTGGGAACCGAATGAACTGCCCACTCACCCCAGCACTGTAAAAGGCAATGCTTACTCTTTACATCCCACAGATCAAAAGCAACCAAACTGACAAGCTTTCCTCCATTAGAGCTCCTAGGCTCAGGTGCGGACCATGGCCTACAAAGACAGCCATTTAAAATGTCAAAAGCACTTTCCAGTTCCATTTCACAGGCACGAGAAAGTTCCCTATGAAGATGGGTTTCAATACTTCCTCCTTGGGTAGCCTTTTAAAAGGTTCTAGTTCTTAACTCCCTCCACCCCCTGCCCCCATTTCTGCCCCTGGAGAAGGGCCAGAGAAACAAAGCAGCCAAGTAAGTAAAAGGGCATGGGAAGGGAGATGTTAGGTGCCTTTCTCTTCCTTCCCTATAGAAAGTCATTTCCCTTAACAGAGGACTCCCCCCATAATCTGGGAGAGAAGGGTAGAGCTGATCCCTGAGCAGCTTAGTCCTAACTGCCTACAGCCTACTACCCAGGAGGAGGAGGAGAAAGAGTAAAAGGGAGGGAAGGAGAAGAAACAGAGGAAGGGGGAGGAGAAACAGAGGAAAGGGTGGGAAGGGGGAGAAAGGGGAAGGAGGAGGGGGAGGGAAGGTTATTCATATCAACAACTGTGGCTACACCAATCACCTCCCCCCCCCCACTCCAGCCCACAGCCATGGAGTCTCCGCCTGCTCAGCCTCCACCCCCCTCCCCAATACAACCCAGGAGGACCTTGTAAGGGCATGGAGTAAAAGATGGTCTCCAGGCATCCACTCTGAAGTCTGAATTCTGGCAGAGTCTAATTCTGGCTGAAGGTCTACAATCTCCGTCGGCTTACATTACTGTTTGTTACTCTAACTGGGCCTCAGTTTCCTTCTCTTTAAAATGGGGGGAAGAGAGTTTCTACTCCTAGGAGGGCTGGGAGTGGGGGGCTAAATTACACGCTCAGTCAGCCTGGGCCGTCGCTGCCACTGAGGCTTGGATTTCTAAGTGGCTCAAAAGTAAAAAGAGGAAAAGGACTGTGCGGATTAAGCTCCTCCAAGGCCAGGCTGAACCAAAGCAGCGCCTTAGGAACCCGGGCGCTTCTCCAGCCGTGGCGGAGGGATGAATCCCGACTTCGGAAGAGGCAGCTCCGAAGACTGGAAATTACCTCGCCCTTATCTCCATCCAAAGAAGGGCCGGAAGGGGAGGCAGGGTGTCATCCGGGACAGATATGGTACAAATCCTTTCTGATGGTCCCTGGCCAGGGCGCTGCCCGTTCTGGAGCATATGACCTTGCGCCAGCAACTTCATCTCCCTCCCCAAGCCTCAGTTTCCCCATCCGTGCAGTGGGCACAGAATTGCTCTGGAAGCGCGAAAGCGCCGGCCCAGACCGTCCCGGGTTCGGCAGGCCAGAGGTCGCCCCCTCAGGGGCGCTGCCACCGCCTAGGCCTCCGCCTTGGGCCACGCGGGCCCCGCGGCCACCACGCCCCGGGCCTTTGCCCCCAAGCCGCCTTGGCCAGCCGCCCGGAGCCGAGACCCCCACCCCCCCACCCCGCGAGCCCGCCAACTCACCCGTGTAGTGCACCACGCAGGTCTGGCCGCGCTTCGGGAAGGTGCGCCCTGAGGAGGGAGACAGACAGACAGACAGACAGACGGGAGCGGTGAGCGGATGCGCGCGGCAGCGGGGGCACTCCGGGCCCGCCGAGCGCGCCTACTCACCGTCTCCGGGGGAGATGGTTTCCACCTGCACTCCCATGGCGGCGGCGGCGGCGGCGGCGGCGGCGGCGGCGGCGGGGGACGCTGGGCGCGCGGGCGGGCGGGCGCGCGGGCGGGCGGGCGGGCGGCGCGGCGGGTGGCGTGTACCGACAGCGGACCTGGCGGCGATTCCCCGGCTCTGCCTCGGCCCTCGGCGCCTCGCCTGCGCAGGCGCGCGCCCCCGCACGCCCCGCCCTGCGTGCGCGCCCCACACGGCGCGCACGTCCCCGCAGCCGGGGCAGCGGGCTGGGGGACCGGAAGCTCGGCGGCCCCGAGGCCTCCGGATGCAGCCGTCTGGAGGGCCGTCCTGCTTCCCCCCACCCTTCCTTTCCCGTGCTCCTGGACGGGCGGGCGTCTCTTTCCCCAAGTTTCCGCATCTGGGAAATGGGAGTAATGACTGGGGGCCGGCCGCTTACCGGCTGGGTGACTTTGAGCAGGTTCACAGTTTGAAGTACACACTTGCTTAAGAAGGATGGTCGTGGGAGGTCAGCGCATATGTGCGTTCATGTTAGCGTTCACCAAATGGTTCAAGATTCTGAGCTCTGCTTTTCTTCGTTGGAAGAGGAGTCGGTATTTACACTGCCCTGCATGAAACCTGTCATGTCGTGTGGGGATTTCACTCATTCACTCATTCATTCATTCGTTCGTTCGTCCGTTCGTTCATTCGTTGCTTACAGACTAAGGTTCTTACTGAGCCGCTCCCATATGCGGTGCACTGTGCTAGGCGCTGGGGAAACAACAGCGAAGGAGACGGATTCAGTCCCTGACCTCGCAGAACTTAGAGTCTGGTGAGGGAGAGACCATCGAATTGCCACAGAGATAAATGTAAAGTTTCAAATTTGTTAGTACTGTGAGTGATACATGTAGTTATGCTCAGAGGCGCGTGTAACAGAGATGCCTAACTTAGTCTGGGGTGTGTGGATCGCTTCCCTGAGGTAGCCAGGTTTAGCCAAGGTCTGAAGGAGTTGACCCGCTGTGTGTATGCTGGTATAGAAGGAACACACAGAGGTACTGTGGCCCCAGGGAACACTGTGACACAGCGCAGGACCGGAGGGAGGCAGATGTGGATAATCCTTCTCTGGGTCTTCCTATATGTGCTCCTGAGATATTTTAAACATGACCTCAAAGTTCTTGGACACTCTTCCCATCATCTATATCCCCTTCCCTAGAATCTCAGGAAGAGGGATGCCTGGGTGGCTCAGTTGGTTAAGCGCCTGCCTTTGGCTCAGGTCATGATGCCACCATCGTGGGATTGAGTCCTGCGTCAGAGCCCGCTTCTCCCTCTGCCTTCCACTTCCCCTACTTGTGTGCTCTCTTTGATAAATAAGGTCTTTAAAAAAAGAAGAAGGAGAAGAAGAAGAAGAAGAATTATCATCTCAGGAAGCTTGTGACAGCTCTGGTATTTTTATATTATTTCGGATACGGGCTGTAACAGAAACCAAAGTAACAGTGGCTGAAAGGAGACTGAAGTTGTTGTCTCTCTCTTAAAACAGTCCAGAGGCAGATAGGGCAGGCAGTTCGGCTTCACAGGCTGATCCTTCTACTTGTGCCTCTCCATCCCGAGGATCCTCCTCTCCTGTGCATGACCCAAGTTGGCTCTCCAGAATGTTTGCATTCCCAACCAGCGGAAAGGGGGATAGAGGGGATGTGAGGGCATATCTCCGTCCCTGTAAGTGCATGACCTAGAAGTTGCATGCATCTCTTTCCCTCACATCTCATTCGCTACTACATAGCTGTGTGGCCAAATTGAGCCACACAGGAAGCTGGGATATATAGTCTTCATTCTGGATGTCCCTGTGCCCAACTAAAAATAGGGGTTCTGTGCCTGCAGAAGAAGGGGAAATGGATATTAAGAGACAAAATTAGGGGCACCTGGGTGGCTCAGTTGGTTAAGCACCGACTCTTGATCTCAGCTCAGGTCTTGATCTCAGGGTCCTGAGTTAAAGCCCCGTGTTGGGCTCCACCTACTTAAAAAAAAAAAAAAAAGACAAAATTAAAAAGGGAGAGCTCCCCAGTGGGCAGGACTGTCACCCCACCCCATCCTGCCTCCTCCATCACCACCTGAGGAAAGTCAGACTGCAGAGTTCCTGGCCCAGCCCACCCTGTGGCTTCCCTCATTTTCATTCTGTGATCTGGTGGTTCTCTTATGGCTCTGGACTGGGCATCAGTTCAGAACATAGACCGGTCTTTGAGACAACGTCCATCCCGATCCACAGATACAAGATTTTGTTTACCTTTCCGTTGGGGGATTTGCCAAGAACCTCAGGTTTGCACCCCTCTTCTTCACTGCTTTGGGGAATGGAAGCATGTGACTACATTTCGGCTATCAGTAGTGGGATGTAGGGCGGGCCTGAGATGAATTGGCCCCCAGGACGGATGTGCGCTCTATAACATGAGGGACACTTATTAGATATTTGTAAGACTTTTGTTTGTTTGTTTGTTTGTTTGTTTTTATTTATTTGCGAGAGAGAGAATGAGAGACAGAGAGCATGAGAGGGGAGTGGGTCAGAGGGAGAAGCAGACTCCCTGCTGAGCAGGGAGCCTAATGTGGGACTCGATCCCGGGACTCCAGGATCATGACCTGAGCCGAAGGCAGTCGCTTAACCAACTGAGCCACCCAGGCGCCCCAGTAAGACTTTTTAAGTAATTGGGAGAGTTCCTTTCCAAACTGGCTTTTTTTTTTCTTTTTCATTGAAGTATAGTTGACATACAATGTGACTTGAGTTTCAGGTGTACAACATAGTGATTCGACCACATTATGCTGTGCTCACCACAGGTGTAGCTGCCCACTGGTCACCATATGACACTGTTACAGTACTGTTGTTTATATTCCCTTTGCTGTAGCTGTCATCCCCATGACCTATTCATTCCATAACTGGAAGCCTGTACCTCCCACTCCTCTTCACCCATTTTCCCATTCTCCTGCTCCCCTCCCCTCTGGCAATGATCAGAATGTTCTCTGTATGGGACTGTTTTCGCTGGTTTTTGTTTATTCATTTGTTTTGTTTTTTAGATTCCACAGTGAAATCGTATGGTATTTGTCTTCCTCAATCTGACTTACTTCACTCAGCATAATACCCTCGAGGTCCATCCATGTTGTCACAAATGGCAAGATCTCATACTTTTTTACGGCTGAGTAATATTCCACCGTATATGTATATTGCATCTTCTTTATCCATTCATCTATTGATAGACACTTGCTTCTATATCTTGACTAGGGCATATAATGCTGCAATAAACATAAGGATACATATATATTTTCAAATTAGTTTTTGGTTTTCTTTGGGTAAAAAAATACCCAGTAGTGGAATTACTGGATGGTATGGTATTTCTATTTTTAATTTTTTGAGGAACCTCCATACTGTTTTCCACAGTGCCTGCATCAATTTACATTCCCAGCAAAAGCACAAGCTGGTTTCTTTTTCTCCACATTTTTGACAATACTTGTAATTTCTTGTCTTTTTTATTCTAGTCATTCTGACAGGTGTAAGATGATACCTCATTATGGTTTTATTTACAATTCCCTGATGACTACTGATATTGAGCATCTTTTCATGTGTCTATTGGATGTCTTCTTTGGAAAAATGTCTATTCATGTCATCTGCCTGTTTTTAATCAGATTTGTGTGTGTGTGTGTGTTGAGTTCCAAGTTGGTTTTGGTTCTATGTTCATACATAGCCTAGTTATTAATTTTTTTTACAAAATTATTATTTGGTTATATATACTTAATTGGTTATATATACTTTGGTTATATATACTTATATATACTTAATTGGTTAATTGGTATTATTTGGTTATATATACTTAATTGGTTAGCTTAAGACTAATTATTCATTGATAAAAATGTGTTCAAATCTTTTATTTTTTTTTAATTTTTAAACAAGATTTATTTATTTATTTTAGAGAGAGTTGGAAGGAGGGGCAGAGGGAGAGCAAGAGAGAGAGAATTTCTAGCAAACTCCCTGCTGAGCGCCAAGCCGAGCACGGGGCTTGGTCCCATGACCCTGAGATCATGACCCGAGCCAAAATCAAGAATCAGATGCTTAACCAACTGAACCACCCAGGTGCCCCAGTGTTCAAATCTTTTAAAAATCAAACTTTAGCAACCAGAAGAACTTAAAACAGAAATAGTGAATGACTCTAAGAGATGAGACAAGGAGAAAGGAAGATTAGACTTTTCATTTAATATCATTCTGAACTGACTGAATTTACTTTTACTCTCTGTGTGTATTATTTTCATGGTTTCTAAAGGACACATGATGTCATTTGAGTCTCAAGTTAGAAGCATCCCTGATGACAGGAGAAGTGATTCCTTCCTTGCAACTCCAAAATCTGAAAAATGGGGCTTAGATTTCTTTGGGTTTATCCTGTTTGTGTTTCATTCAGCTTCTTGAATGTGTATGTTTATATCTTTCACCACATATGGGAAGTTTTCAGCCATTAGTTTTTCAAATATTTTTTTCTGCACCACTGTTTCTCCTGTTCTTCCCAGATTCTGATGACATAAACATTCACTCTTTTGGAATTGTCCCACCAGTTCCTGAAGTTCTGTTCATTTCCTCCAAATCTTTCTCTGTGTTGTTCAGATCGGATGATTTCTTTTTTTCTTTTGAGAGAAAGAGAGAGTGTGCACACACAAGCTGGAGGGAGCGGCAGAGGTAAAGGGAGAGGGAGAATCATAAATAGACTCCATGCCCAGTGTGGAGCCTGGCATGCGGCTTGAGCTCATGACCCTGAGATCATGATCTGAGCTGAAATCAAGAGTAGGAAGCTTAACCAACTGAGCCACCCAGATGCCCCCAGATTGGATAATTTCTATTTTTCTATCTTTAAGATCACTGACTTGTTTCTCTGCCATCTCCATTCTGCTAGGCACCCATCCAAAGAGTTTTTAAGTTTTTGTTCATTTTATTTTTCAATTCTAAGATTTTCATTTTGTTCTTTATATGTTCTATTTATTTGCTTAAAATTTCTATCTGTCCATTTGTTTCTAGATGGCTTGCCCTTATTTGCTGGAGCATTTTTATAGTAGCTGCTTTATTTTTACTTTTTTTTTTTTAAAGATTTTATTTATTTGAGAGAAAGAGAGAGCGAGAGCACGTGCACAAGCTGGAGGAGGGGCAGAAGGAGAAGCAGGCTCCCCACTGAGCAGGGAGCCTGACACAGGGCTCGATCCCAGGAACCCAGGATCAGGACCTGAGCCGAAAACAGATGTTTAACTGACTGAGCCACCCAAGCGCCCCTATAGTAGCTGCTTTGAAGACTGTCAGATAGGGGCGCCTGGGTGGCTCAGTCTGCCTTCAGCTCAGGTCATGATCCCAAGGTCCTGGGATCGAGCCCCACATTGGGCTCCTTGCTCAGTGGGGAATCTGCTTCTCCCTCTCCCTCTGCCTGCTGCTCTGCCTACCTGTGCTCTCTCTCTCTGTCAAATAAATAAATAAAATCTTTAAAAAAAAAAAAAAGACTGTCAGATAATTCCAACAGCTGTGCCACCTCAACATTGGCATCTGTGGATTGTCTTCTCCCACGTGAGTTGAGATTTTCAGGTTTCTTCCTATGTCAGGTCATTTTGGAATGTATCTGGACATTCTGAATATCATGTTATAATACTCAGAGTCTTTTAAAAATCCTATGGAGAATGTTGATATTTTGTTCTAGCAGGCAATTGATCAGATTGGCTCAGGCTGTTGAGTTCCAACCAGACTTCTGTGGGTTATGACTTCGAGGTCATTTCTATTTTCAAAGCCTCTCCCATGCCATTTGAATCCATCCTGTGTGTGCACCACTCAGTGATCTGTCTAGGACCTGGGCAGTAGTCAATCCTATAGTAAATTCTCAAAGTCTATGTCAACTGTTTAGTGTTTAATTTACCTATACGAAACAGGGTGATGGGCCCAGAAGTTTATAAGCAACTTTTTAGGTTGCTTTCCTGAGCTCTTCCCTCTCTGTGATCACCTCAATAAATTTTTGGTTTGCTGGTGCTCCTCTTTTTGGTCCTCCAATCAGAAATCTGGGAACTTATTTGCTTAGTTTATACTTATATGTGGCCTCTCCGAAGGCTGTTTGGCTTCCTTACAGTGTGGTGGCTGGATTCCAATAGGGAGTGTCCCAAGACAACCAAGTGGAAGCTCTATCACAGTTTAGGACCTAATCTTGAAAGTCACATCACATTACTTATTCCATAGTTAGCCCCACCCCCACCCTAGATTAAAGGAAAGGAAATTTAGGCCTCACTTCTCAGTGGGAGGAGGGTAAAAGTCAAATCACTGAGAAGAGTAGGTGGGATGGGAAACTTTGTTATAGCCATTTCTGGGACATACAATCCACCTCAAAGATCTCATTGATTATTAAAATACTAAAATACCTCCAAAACAGTTACTAGACAGCAGTGCCCCCTGTCCCCTATTGCCTTTCTCCCTACTCGTCTCTGGGGCACCGCCTTCTCAGACCGCTCTGTGATCTAGCAATCGAAGAGTTGATAACCTGGCACAGCAGGGACCCCCAGGAACCTGTTCCAACCTAGGGCCAGTCTTGTGATCAGCATTGTCCTGCTAGTTGTTAACTCTTTTGAGTATCACCTCTGGCACTGAGGTGCCCCACGCTAGCAACTTCCCCAGCCTGATCTAGAAGTGTGGGGAACTTCAGGGAATTTTGTAAGCCTCACCTAAGATGTGGGGTTTTACCTTCGGGTGTGACCTTCTCCAGTACTTTTGACTTTCCCCTTATCCTAGCTAACTCTGCCTTTGGCAGAATTGTGCCCTCAGTGGGAAGCCAGAACACGGAGACTTCTACCCACCTGCCTCCCACCCTTTGTGACCCCATCCTTCTCCCATGGTGGAATCTTTTTTCCCATCTGGCAAGGCAACAGGTGGCTGACCTGAATATACGAAATGCAGTGATGGGTGTTTTGTATATAGTGGTTTATCGAACCCTCATCCCAACATCACTGTTACTAACGCCCTTTTACAGAAAAGAAAGCTGAGGTGTAGTGACGTGGGGTAAGTTGTCTACACTTGGTAGACTGAAAAATGGTCTCCCAAAGAAGTCAGGTCCTAATCCCTGGTACCTGTAAATGTTACTTTACATGGGTATAGGACCTTTACAGATATGATTAAGTTAAGGATCTTGAGATGGGGAGATTATCCAGGATTATCAGGGGGCCCTAAATGCAATTGCATGTATATAAGAGGAAAGCCGAAGGAGATTTCTCTGTCTCTGTCTCCTCCTTCTCCCTCTCCCTCCCACCCCCCACCCCCCCCCGCCAAAAGAAAGTGATGTGACCACAGAGCTGAGACATTTGAAGATGCCGGCATTAAAAACCAGAATGATGTAGCCACAAACCAAGGAAAAAGAGACGACACCAGAAGCTGGAAGACTCCGGTAACAGTTTCTCCCCTAGAGCCCCCAGAAGGAGTGTGGTCCTGCCGACACCTGGGTGTGCCTAAGAGATACCGATTTTGGACTTCTGTCCCCCAGAACAGAGAGAGTAAATTCTGTTGTTTTAAGCCACCAGGTCTGTGGTAATTTGTCACAAGAGCCTTAGGAAACGAGTACCACATAAAACCAGAAATGTGCCCGGGTCCGTCTGGCTCAGGTAGGCAGCCCTGGATTGAAGGGAGCCTCAGGTGAGCCCAACAGCACTAACAGTAAGCATGCGGAGCACGCACCTTCCCCACAGGGAGACCCGGGGGTGAGCAGGTGGAACAGGCAGGACGGACCCTGGCCAAACAAACAACCACAGTAGGTCTGACGCTTCCCTCCCTACCAAGAGACACAGGGCAGCCAGGCCTGGGGAAACCCCTTCCACCCTCCTGGGAGCTTGAGCAGCAGCCAGCAGGAGACCCAATAATACCGGATAAACCAAACTGACCAAAATCATATAAGCAAAGGCTCTAAAAACTAAACTGTCATTGGAATCGCAGCCCACAAAAATGGTCCAGGACCTGGATGTCAGACCTAAATAGGGTGCCTGCCTGCTAAAATATGCCAGAGTCCAGCTCCAGCCGGGGTGGGTCTCTCGTAGGAAAGGACGGCATCGGCGAACGAGGAGACACAGACACAGGATCAGGTTGCAAGCATCTCCTCCTGATAGCCTCGGAGGAACTTTATTTATATGTTAGGATATTTTTGTTTTTCCAAATCTTAGATCATTTTCTGGATTACAGCCATAGCCTTCTTTCCTTTTTCCTTTGTAATGATTAACATGACCTTTATTGATTTCTGCTTATTGGCTTTCGCTAAAGCTAAAAAACAGTACGCAAAGAGAAAGGTGCTAGACAGAGCGTGACCGTCTTGTTATTTTGTTCTATAGAAACTAATTCTTCGTGGAATTAGTTTCATTATGATTGCTTAGATAGGCATAACTAAGATGAGTAGTCACTTTATCATGAAACCCCAGAAATATTCCCACAATTATAAAGATTGCCATAAATAAAATGAAAAAAAAAATAGCAGGAGCCAGCCCAGAAATATTCCCACAATTATAAAGATTGCCATAAACAAAATGAAAGAGAATAGCAGGAGCCAGCTGTGGAGTCTCCTGTTTTCAGGATTGTCCCCCATACTTGGACTTTGTCAAACAGCATGAGTAGCTTGGCTCGCGCCAAAAATAAAGGGCTTAGATAGGACCTGGCATTTCCAAACATGATAGACAAAATGCTCGGGATACAACTGAAAATCACCCATCCTAATAAGACCCAAGAAAATCACAACTTGAATGAGAAAAAAATCAACTGACTCCAGCATTGAGATGAATCTGATATTAGAATTATCCAAGGAGGTCTGAAAGCAGCCATCATAAAAATGCTTTGACAATCAATTACAAATTCCCAGGAAATGAAGGAAAAAAATAGATAATCTCAGCAATGAAATAGACATTATAAAAAAGAGCTGTAAAAAGAGCCGTCAGTAAGAACTATGTTAAATTTAATATAGATACAGATGGTTACACACA